CCCTGATTGATGCATACACTACGCCTCATCGATTGAAAATGCATCCAACGATCAGTAGCTGGTTGGACCAACCAGCAGAAGTAAATCATTAATCAACCTGGATTGGTAATAAGCAATTAATGTAACCGAATAGATCCATAGCAATCGGCGTATTGAACATTCCACCGCAAAACAATACTGATGCCTGTTGCCCTAAATACTTTGCATATTAAATATAGCCGAATACGAAACCATTAAAAACTCGCAACCATTATGAATACTTTGCCGATCAGCAAAGTATGATTATTGGACTTGGGATTTGGACACTGAGCGGTCGGTTGAATGCCGATCGCTTTGGGCGCAACTGATTATTGCAAACTTTTTAATAAACTGACGCACGTTCACTGAACTCAACTGAAGGTTTTAATCAGTGAATAATTAATGTGAATCGTTTCTTTGGTAGTTCAGTGCTTCTCGAAATATTCACTTTTCCTAACTGATTTGCAGCAATGTCTCTAGATTTATGTAGTTTTAAAAGCATTCTAGTAGAGAGAGTTATTGGGAAGAAAATACCTGTACACTGTACAGTGAGATCTGTTAATGATTCTAATATTATCTCTTTTTTTTCTTCAAATATTGCAAACGATCGTATTCAACAATCGCATCAACATTTCATGAGGAAACACGCAAACGTAGAAAGTGTCAGAATATGCTGTTGGCGATGATCAATTTTTAAGATATTCACGATTTACGATGCATTTTGAAAATTTCAGAATTGAATGGGTGCAGCTTTGTCAAAAAATAGAAAATACCATAAATGCCAACTCGGAATGAGCTTCGAGACAGCTCAACATCATGCGACCGTGAACGTTGTGCTTGATGAGGAACGATTTGAATCGATTGAAGGTGCACTGACGAACAAAGAGATTCAATTTCGAGTGAATTCTGAGGAATGTGTCAAAATTTTTTACGACGATATTATTTCAGTTTCAAAGCCTATCAAAAATGGTCAGTGATTGATTCGTCAGTAAATGCAATAATTTGCTTTTTTTATCCTCCACACTCACCACTCAAAATCGTCAGCGTATTCCAGTTGAATGTGTTCGGAATGGATTACTACAGATTTCGAGCATTTGTTGAAACACTGGAAAATGCGATATCTTCAGACAGAAAGCGTGCGAGCATTGGTTTATCATTGATTAATGTTGTCCGCTTAATCTGCATTTCTTACGATCAATGTTAATCAGTCTGATCTTTTGATGTTCTGCAGAACTGTTGTTGATCTCTTATCCGATTATCAATGGAAAGCGATCACCGATCAGTCTGAAAGTTTGTTTCGATAATGATAGTGCATCAGATGAATGGCTCATCTTTCTCAAAAATGCCACCAAAGTGCCATTGGCTCGTAAGTTTTCTTTCTTCCAATTTCAATTCGTATTTTGTCATTTCACTGATTTCTTTCAACAAACGCGATGATGCTCGCAATGAATTTGCATTGTATTATCTTCATTCATCTTCGCTGTTCATTGATTTATTGAAGGAATTGTTCGTTTCATCAGTTTATGCGCTTACAGCACACATCCCTATGTCGAATTTTCGACGGAAACGTCGTAGAATATTGGTGATTGTGAATCCATTCGGTGGCCAGCAGAAAGCTTGGAAAATGTGGCAAGAAATCGTCAAACCAATTTTCATCGCAGCACAACTAGATTATAAAGTTATTAAGACGGGTTTGCTCCTAAGTTGTTTTGCAAGCAACAACTAGTATCGCATTCTCATGTGGTACTGTGTTGTTGTTTATTTTGATGCCTAATTGCTTGTAGGGGTAAATTCCCAGCGAAATAATAGTGTCGTTTGTATTGAAGAATGTGTAAAGCATGCGCGGACAATCGCGAACGTCGTTCCACTGGACGATTACGATGCATTAGCAGTGATGAGTGGTGACGGGTTGATCTCTGAGGTTATCGAAGGGTTTCTACTGCGATCCGATCGAGAACGTGCCTTGAAGATGCCGATTGCACACATTCCTGGTGGAACAAGCAATGCACTCGCAGCTTCGATTTGCTTTCAGTGCAAGTTAGTGCTTTCGATGAATTTATTCGTATTTTTTACTCATTTCATATTATTTACTCGTACTCAGTTGATTTTTGTGGTGCGATACGATTGCATTCAGTGAGCCGTTCGCTCCACGAGGAATATTTTGCCTGGAGGCAGCGCTGATGGTTGCCAGGCCCCGATATTTGCCTTTGCGAATATGTCATGTTCAAACTGAAAAAGATGGTGACCGAAGCATGTTCCTATCGATTACGTGGGGTTTAGTGGCTGATATCGGTGAGTGAGTTGCCTCTTAGTTCTG